TTGCACTACCACCTAGCGCCCGAGGCTGGAACTATTTTATTTGAAATTTCCGTGGAAACGGTGGAACCGCTTTTGCTATTTCACTTTCCGGCCCCTGACTTCAACCAAAAATAATTCAACCATATTTTCAAAATCATGAAGAATGCATTTCTCTCAAAATATAAATAATAAAAAAGCTTTTCCTCTTGTAAAGACAATCCGAGGACATACTGTATGTTACTTTAGAAACAGGTCCCTTCCAACAAACGTTGGGCAAAAGAGTTGAGTTGAGACAACTGTCGAAGCGTTCATTATACAGGGTGGTCCGAACTGTATTCCGGAAACTTCGGCAGCATTTTGTGCATATAAAAATAAGTCAAAAATTCATGTAAACTTATTTCCCAAAATGCTTGGTTTTGGAGATACAGGATGTAGAAGTTCAATTTTTATTTCGATTTTTTTAAAATTATTTTTGAAATAACGTCAATATTTAGATGAAAATTGTTGTCTGGCAGTTTTTTGATATTAGAAATTTGGATTTAGATGTTAATATGACTACTGCTTTTAGGGGGCGCCACCTAAATATTTTTAACTAGTTTGAAGAGTCATAACTTTTCGTCCGTACCTGTACAAAACTCTTGAAAAAAAAAAATACATTTACGATGTTTTTTTACGTAAAAAAGGTCTCTTGGTAAAAATCGCTACGAGTAATGGTTCTCGAGATATTTGGAACCGAAATTATCAATACCTATCATCATTGACATAAATTAAACATATTGACTAAATAGTTATTAGACTGAAATCATAAATTTGAAATGTGTTTGTGCCAAAAGTTCAACAGAAACTGTTTTATCATAGTTTTTTCGATGAAAATTTTATGATTAATTTAAAATAATTAAAAGTTTCCAAATTTATTATTTCATTCAAATAGCTATCTACATGTTTATTTTTTGTCAATAATGACATGTATTGACCATTTCCATTCTAAATATCTTAAAAACAGTGACTCGTAGCGATTTTTACATAGAGACATTTTTTACGTAAAAAATCACGAAAATGTATATTTTTTCACTCAGTAGTTTTATACAGGTACGGACGAAAAGTTATTGCTCTTCAAAACTTTCTTCCTTAGAACATATTTTATACGAAACTTTTACTTATTTTTATCTGCAGTATATGCTGCCGAAGTTTCCGGACAACCCTGTATATTTCGTATGAGAAGCACACTAAACACTAAACACTAAACAAATTTAAAACAAATAAATCTGTATAAAAGCTAAATAGGACTAAAAAACATGCGTAAGTATTAAAATCACGGACTGGACCCTGCAAATACGAGCAATAAATTTAAACATCATGCAACAAACCAAACTAGTAATTTGAAAGACTCTGGAACATATTTATAAGAACGTAACTGACAAGTTAAAAAATCTAAAAATCATAAGAGTACATAAAAAAATATTTAATTAAATAAGAAAGTGTGTATCACATGTAAAAAGATTATGAATTTTAATGCATATACCGGATGCGTATCAAAAGTGGCTCACCCCATTAGGATTGACTGACGTATACTATTCTTTTCTGTCACTACCTGTTTGACCTTAAATGACTACAACTTTTGAAACGTTTTTGTGCCAAAAGTTCAACAGAAACTGTTTTATCATCGTTTTCTCGATGAAAAATTTATGATTAATTTAAAAAAATAAAAAGTTTCCAAATTTATTATTTCGTTCAAATAGCTATCTACTCAACATGTTTATTTTTTGTCAATAATGACATGTATTGACTATTTCCATTCTAAATATCTTAAAAACAGTGGCTCGTAGCAATTTTTACATAGAGACATTTTTTACGTAAAAAATCACAAAAATGTATATTTTTCACTCAGTAGTTTTATACAGGTACGGACGAAAAGTTATTGCTCTTCAAAACAGTTAAAATACATGTAGGTGGCGCCCCCTATAACAAGGAGTCATATTGGCATCAAAATCAAGTTTTTCATGTCAAAAAACTCCCAGATACCAATTATATTGACGTTACTTCAGAAATTATTTGGAAAAAAATTGAAATAAGAATGGAATTTCTACACCCTCTATCTCCGAAACTAAGCATTTTAGGACATACATTTATACGAACTTATTTTTATCTGCAGTATATGCTGCCCAAGTTGAATAAATCTGTATAAAATTAAAATAAGGATTAAAAACCATGTATAAGTATTAAAATCACGGACTGGACCCTTCAAATACGAGCAATAAAGTTAAACATGTGCAATAAACCAAACTAGTAATTTGAAAGACTCTGGAACATATTTATAAGAACGTAACTGATAAGTTATAAAATCTAAAAATCATTAGAGCACAAAAAAATATTTTATTAAATAAGAAAGTGTCTATCCTATCTAAAAAGATTATGAAATATAATGTATATACCGGGTGCGTCTCAAAAGTGGCTCACCCCATTAGGATTGACTGACGTATACTATTCTTTTTTGTTACTACCTGTTTCACCGGAAATGACTACAACTTTTGATTTTAAATGGCACCGTCGGTACTTTATTTGATAGAAAATTACACTCTGAATAGAATGACATATCATATGTCAACTTTTGACACTTTTGCAAATGGTTTATTTGAGTTTGTAACGTCCGGTTCAGAACGACTCTTTGACTCAAAATACCAGGTGTGTGGTACCAAATTATTTGAAAAAATGCTTTTTCTAAATATGCTAATGAGCCACCCTCGTTCCATTTGAAAAATATTGAGATATGATTAAAAATACGATTTAGGCATATTTTACCCGCCGGAATGGACAAGACACGAAAACAACACGAAAATCTCAATTTTTTTGACAAGTTGACATATGATATGTCATTTAGAGTGTAATTTTCTATCAAATAAAGTACCGACGGTGCCATTTAAAATCAAAAGTTGTAGTCATTTCGGGTGAAACAGGACCGGTAACACAAGACGTAAATGACATCTAGAGTTTGACCTCACGAAAAGTATCACCGATTGTCATTCCTGTCCCTCGCTGCTATTGAAAACCATTCTCTGTCGAAGGCTACCATTTTCTGTAAGCCTAATATTCTATTCTTATTGTAAACTGTTTACAAATACTAACATAGATTAATATGGGCAACAAAACTAATAATTTGAAATACCCTGGATTATATTTGCACTATATTTCATAATCTGTCAAGATATGAATTTCACTTTGTAATTTAAAAATTATTACATAAATAATATAGAAATGGAGATGTTTTTTTTATGTATTGAATCTGTTCTTATGATTTATAGAATTGGTAACTTGTCAGTTAGTTCTTTATAAAATTGTAATTTTGTTGTAGTACCAGTAATAACCCTTTTTGAAGTACTGGTTATGAAAGTATATTCAACACTCATTTTTTGAATGTTTTTTAGACATGAAAAGCTTGTTCTAAGTGACATGCTTGAAAACAAAATCATTTAAAGATTTTTTCATTACGCGTTTTAATTTAATTAAAGAAAACGATTCATGATAACGAAAGGTTTCATGTAGAAATATTTTCTTTATTAACTTGAACTATTAAAGCGTACCTTAATATAAAGCAGACTTCGTTCGTTTCGAAGGCGCTGTCACTATGTATTTATATACCGGGTGCGTCTCAAAATTGGTTCACCCCTATATTTTTTTTTTCAGATAACCAAGGAGATTTGGTACGTTAGTATACGACATAAATTAGGATTTATTGACATATTCAATTGTATTCGGTCACTTCCGGTTTCACCGGAAATTACTAATAGACCATAAATGACTACATTTAGTTTAAAACAGCACCCTCGATATTTTTTTTAACTTTATTCGATAGAAAATGACACTCTGAATAGAACAACATATTATATAAAAACTTTTGATATTTTTGCATATGGTTTATTTGAAATGATATCATGCGGTTCATAACGACAATTTGTCTCGAAATACCAAGTGTGTGGCATCAAATTATTGGTAAAAAAATGCTTTTTCCAAACATGCTAATGAGCCACACTCGTTCCATTTGAAAAAATTGAGATATGATTAAAAATACGATCTTTTAACCGGCCAGGAGAAGACATTAAAAACATTAGATAATCAAATCTATTTTTTCAAGGCTCCTTGCCTAAAAATTAGTGTTTTTAATACAGCCATGAATCACTGTAAATTAAAATTTAAAATTCAATTTGTTTTTAATGCCATTCAATTCAGAGTGTCATTTTCTATCAAATAAAGTAAAAAAATACCGAGGGTGCCATTTAAAAATCAAAAGCTGTAGTCATCTCCGGTGAAACAGGAAGTGACCGAAAACAATTATTGAATACGTCAATCAGTCCTAATTTATGTCATATATACTCTGTTTTTTTTTCTCAGGTAAGATTTCGACAGACGATGACAGGAGAAAAGCAGATGACGTCCCATACCAATCTATTTATTTTACTAAAAAAAATTTCTAATAATTTTTAAGTTAACTATGGATGGGTTTAAACAAAGACATCTAAATAAAAGGAGACGAAACAATTTACATTTTACCGCGATCACGAACCGTGTTGCACAAAAATCGATGATGCCAATTTTAAGTGACCGGTGGTAGATTTCGGCTGATTACGGTTTGAGTTCTAAATGCTATTGCCATTACAAGGTCATTAGACTAAATATTTGTGTGGATATATAATTTTAATTATAATACATTAATTACACTAGGATTATACCTTTGAAATTATTATTAGTTTTCTAATTAAATTATATTAAAATTACGATTAAAATATATTAGGGAAATTACTAAGACAACCCGGCATCGCTACGGATTAATTTTTACTACGAATTGTCGGAATCTGTAGAAATTACGCTGACATTTGACGTATTCATTCAACTTTTGTCCAACGGAGCATTGTTGCGAGTTTTCTGCGACCGTTGGAAGTGTTTGTGGATTTCGGACAACTTTCGAATAATTATTAGATGTTTATTGCAAAGAAAACTATTATTTAAGTAGTTTTTAACTATCTACAATGGTTCGCCAGTGCACAGTTTGTTAAAGGTGGACTATTCTAACTCCTGATTGATATTTGGACGGTAAGTGTTATTACATTTTTTACCTTTAGCAATGCCTTTACAGTAGCGTATCTAAGTACTTTTAGTTATAAGTGAATTATTACAAAAAGAAATACGGTATATTTTTCTTATTTGCTGGCGTTTTTTATTGTGAAATTAGACTTATCCTCAGTTAGACCTCAGGCAAAACCGATCTACGTTTTAAGTCAATTATTTTAAAGTATTTGTCCATTTCGCTGTTACAGTTGGTGGTAAAAAATGCTCAGGGGTAATACTGGCTGTTCTCAACTTAACATTTAAAAGAAACTACTTTTTACATATTATATATCCTAAGTACCAACTAACATTCGAAACCGCTATAAATATCTTAAAAATTGTGTATGTTATGGTTAATATCTGCTGAAATAAAACAGCTGTTGCTGTTATAGGTAGTTAATACCTGAAATTTGAACATGATTTGAACATTATTATAGTTATATTCTATATTAACTATGTACCTATATGTATGCTAAATTAGTATGACAAAGTTAGCAAATGTTCAGTTAAAGACATTTAATTTTTATAATTACTTCAGACTTTGGCTAGATAATTTCCACATTTCTCCCCTAGTATTTGAAAAGAAAACTGTTTTACGTCTAAATAATATTAATATTATTGAACTCTAGTTAACATTAGCAGGTTTTAGATATTAACCGTAACACATATGATTGATCTAGGTATTATTTATTTATTTATTATAAAAAATTCTATAAGTAATTACATAATAGGTAAGGTTTAGATATACGTATTCAAAATTCAAATTAAAAAAGTTAATAAAATAAATAAAATTATAATGATGCTTCTGTACTTAAAAGGCCATGCACTGTTTTGAATGATAATGATTAGCCTTACTTATGATAATTCTTTACTCTTTCATTTATGATATTTTTTTAGTTTAGGAACCCTTTACTTTTACCCACATACCTATGCACCTGATTCACGGACATTCCCACATATCCTGGTGTTTAAATGAGGGAAAATAAACTTAGAATTTTTCCTTTAGGTTAATTTTCCTTTTTTTTACCATATATTTTATTATTTACATATATTATTAAATAGATTTATAATACTTAATATGTATGTGTTGCATATGTAACTAATAGTACTTTTGTAGCGTTCCTATAAATACTGAGCTTAGACAATGATCGATTTCACTCTTGAATTTGAAAATCAAACTAACGTGTGTCCAAATTTTTCCTGATGTATTTTTGTTAAGAGCAATATTATGATCGCTGAATTAACTGATCGAAGGCAAATAAGATGAAATTCTGAGCCTCAAATAGATAGTACCATTTTTGCTGGGGCTTTATCATACAGGTAAAAAGCAGTCAAATACATTTTAACCAATTAAATAAATAAGTTTTGTACTAATATTAGTATTTACTCTAGGTTTTCTTCTAGTTTGTACTTACCCACCCAAAAATGTTTTAGGTAAATGAACCTTCAGACCAGCTGAGGGACTAGAGAAGGTCCCTACCTAGTCCCGCTATTGGCAGTTTGGCTGGCTCCTGAAATTTGTAAGAACATTGATACATTTTATACATGTATTTTAATATTGATAATTAATTAAAATTCACAGGATTTTGCCTAAAATCATACAAGATAAACTAGCCCTTCTCAGGAAGCCCTTCCCTCAAAACAACAGAAACGGCATTGGAAAAAGAAGTTGGAATTAACCAGTATAGTGCTCTTTTTGTAAAGTGTGTTCTGGATGTTTAGAGGCTGACTTCAAAGGCTTAAAAAGAAGCTCTTGTATTTTTAAGCAAGGAATGGGGAATATAGCTGTATTCCTTAACAAAATTAATATATATAATAATGTAATAATAATACTCAAATGCTAATGTTTGTCTGTGTCGTCTCTACTGAGTAACGACTTGCTCTACAAAGTTGCTTTTTTTACTTAAAGATAGCTAATTGGCTCTTCTAAAAATTGTCGCCGGATTTTTTGTTTTCATTTAATTAAAAAAAATAAAAGTCAAAAATGTATTTTTTCCTGATGTCGTCATGGCGGATGCGCCAGGCTCCAGGCTTCAACTAGTATGTAATATATTTTAAATGAAATGCTCTCATTGCATAACTATTATTGTCAAGTAGTGTACTGTGACTTATTGAATACAGGTGTACCCTCTTGCGAAATGTTACTTTTTTAACATACAGGGTTTCACAATAGTAAATTTAATTTCGACATATCCAGGTATTTCTTAAAATAGAGACGCAAGAATTTCACGTAGACACAATTTTGCGGTAAAATCTAATACATTCTTAATCATACTTTTGACGTAACTATAGTAGACGGGATACTTTGACACATTGAGCTTTTTCAAAATAACATTTTTCTGCTTTTGTTTTGCCGTCTTAATTATTTTAAAAAATTGACATTTTTTTTTTTCTTCAAATTTTTTTCTGTGTGCTTTGTTTATGTCATTAGCTGTAATAGATTTCAAGGAAGCTGTTATAATATCTAATAGAACAATATAACGCGTAATATAGCAATTATTAATATCACTTTGTATCTTATTAATTAGAAAGCGCTATGGGTTTACTTACCTATCTTAATTTTTATAAAATACGAGACTTGTTGCTTCTCATTGTCAAGCTTTATCGGTCGAGTATCCAGAAACCCTGTATAATTAACATAGCTATCTTTTATTTTTATATGTTTGTCAAGGATATGTTATTTTGAAAAGATTATCTTCTCCACATTATAAGATCATAAACTACATAATTTTTCCCATGGTGTTGGTTTTGTTTATATATTTTCTATTTTTTTTTTTTTTTTTTTTTATTTTTTTATTACATCTTAATGATAAAATTTAATACTATAGAAGGAAATTATTAGGAAAAATTAAAAACGAAAATAGGTTTTATTGAAAATTAATTATTAATGTTTTTTGTTTGTTTTACAGCATGTAGTAAGACAATCCTCATCTTCTGATCTCTCAATAGTTGGATATTTATTATCTCAAGAAAGTCGTCAAAGTATCAGAAAAAAATATTTATCGTTTTTATAAATATATGATTTATAAATTTACAGGGTGGTGCCTCTCCTACGACGCGGAGGCTCCAAAGAGGACGACAGTGGTTTTTATCGTTAATGTAATTTTTGGGAGCATATGTATGATAATGGAAAGCATTTTATAGAAATATCAAGAGTCCTGCGGGGTGTCCCAAAAAAAAGTTATGCATCAAAATTTTTTTTTTTTTTGTAATGGAACACACCTATATATTAATTGATTTTCAGTTCTAGGAAAGAAATAAGGTGAGTTTCATTAAAAGTATACAAAAATGTAGACTTGTCATATTATTTCACATTGGTGAAAATAATGAATAAACTTTAAATTTCAATAACAGCTACCTAGATTGAAATTTACTCATTGTATATTGTAAATTAAAATTTGACCTTAAACATTCTATTAATTGATAGATACACACTGCAGTTAAAGATCAAGGAATAGTATTCAGATTGTTCAAATAAAAGGGAACTTGCTGTGTTCATTTCAAAATAAAAGTGAACAACATTACACATTTTAGTCCAATATTAAATTCACCTTTATTTTTCTCATAGAATACGAAAATCAAATAATATAGGGTGTCCCATTCAAAAAACTAAACTTTGTTGTGTAACTTTTTGTGACACCCTGTAGAATTCCATATTTTAAAAACACATATTTTATCACATTTTATATGTTTAAAATGCTCTCAGAATTAACTTACATATACTCCCAAAATTTAATTTCAATACAAACTCTTTCTCCTTGTTAGCATTTGGAAACGCCACCCTATGTATCTTAAGTAAAATTGTGCATAAGTTATTTTAATTTCAGAAGAGTATGTTAATGAGGGCATTATAATGATATTATGTAGAAATTTAAGTCTTGTAAAAGGAATTTGGAAACAAAGAAAAGAAAAATGAACGAAAAAAAAAAAAAAAAAAAATTGAAAATAAAAATAATATCAATGCATCAGTTAATTGAAGTTACTTAAAGAGAAAAATCTTTGATAAATTAGATCAACTGAATTGACCATTCAGGTATAAATATAGGTATGCAGGGTGACATTTTAAAAACATAATGGCTATAAGTCAAAGGCTATATGTGAGGATCAAAAAATATAAAAATCAAGTAAAATCGCTAAAAGCAATTTCTAATAATTGAAGCTATATCTCTTACTGTTTCTGAGATCCCAGTGCTTGTAATTATTATCTTGGACACACTATTTATGTATATATATTTGTGTAGTGGCGGGCGGAGGGATTATAATAATGTAAAGAGTTATCAGCCATTTAATAATTTAGTCCTACAGCCATTATGTCAAAATCTGTCCCCAAGATTCATTAACAAGTTTTAAATTTAGTTCTGTTCTAATTTTGTGAATGATAGACTAATCCATATGACAGTGGCATAAATACGATTAATGGAAGGTTCTAATTTCCATAACAAGGCCAGGTCTAAATTTTAAAACCCTTTAGTGAATTTGGATGTGTCTAAAAAGACCCAATAATAATATTATAGAGATATAACATTAATAGAGATAATATATGTTTTAAAACTCCTTAGCGGAACCAGTACAAAGTATTTTTTGAAAGAATGGTAAAAGGACCTGCCACACAAAAATCCAATCTTCTGCTACTATCCTTTGCTTTAACATTGTCATTTTATTCGCCGAAAACATAGAATTTTATAAGGGATACATACCCAGAGTTTTCTTGAGGCCTCTAAATTTATTTAGTTTTTCAATAAAAGAAAATATTTTTTGATATTTTTAACTCCTAGAATGGATTTACAAAATATTCATGTAAAAAAATTATCAAACATTTAAGAACAACATACTTTTTAGTAATTTTGAAATAATTAAATTGTATATTATTGGACTTACTTTAAAAGAAAGGTCAACCATAGTCACAAAGAAAAACGGGATTTTTGGGCTTTCTAATTTCGAATATAGTTCTGTCTACCTATATTTAGATGTCTTTGGGTTTAAATATAAATTCGTCATGCGTCGTCACTTGTTGTATTTAACCAGTTTTATTGGTTTATTTCAAAAATGACAGATCGTATTTCAATTTTATTGGTTTGACGGAACGATGAACGACAAACGGACACCGATGCGTATGAACTCAGTAACTTTAGATTTTTTGACGTTTGTCAAAGTCTTGCCAAATTATAGGTTATAATTTTGTGTCAACTTTTGTCAGTTTTATCAAATACCCTGCGTTTTGGAAGATGATGCATTTTGATTCGTGTTATTACATACGTGTGTTTTGTGTCTATTGAAGTCAAGTGGAGGGAAAAATCAGGTGAAATTAACTGTAGACCAGAGCACAGTTTATGGTTAATACTCACTGCCAGGCAGAAAGTCTTATACATATACGCCAATATATAATAACAATAGGATTACTATCAATAGATAAGTTTTTATACCATCTCGTCGTAGATAAATGCATCTCGAATATGGTAGAAGGGACCATACTAAACACAATACTAAAACTGGAGTAGCTTTGTAAGAAAATATCGACATCCACACGATAGGTAAATAATGGATTTTTAATTACTGCAGAAAAATAGTAATAAAGGTACTGGTTTAAAAATTAATTAAAGTTAATTAAATCAACTACTGTGAGTGTATAAAATTTGGTAGAGTGTTATTATTAATAAAAATGGTTTGTTATATTTTATGTTTGTTTTATTTATTCCTTGCGGAATATTACAAATTTGTATTTGTACATAAAGTTATATTGATAAATATAATCATAAATGCAGGAAGTTTCATAAAGAAAGCTTGAAGGTAAGAAATAGTTCTTTTTTTATATTTTTTGGTATGTATGGTGTCTTGTTTTGTTCGTTTTGTATTAGCACATACCGTTTTTTTTTTTTTTTAAATAAAATAACTGGATTACATTTTTTCAGTTTTATACAGTTTATTTCACAATATTTTGAAGTTACTTGTCGGTCAAATTTTAAATACATATATATTAATTTCCTGCCTAGCGTTCCAGTTGTACCAACTTATTTCTTTGTAAAATGAAATAAAGCACTTTGAAATATAAGGCCAGCTTGAACACATCTATCGCTGTCAAAGGATCTTCTATAGATTGGACAGACTATACTAACATACCAAATCTCTTTTTTATCTGAATAAAATAAAAAAAAATTATAGATATTTTTT